GTGAGAGCCCGGGTAAAGTCGTTGGTCGGATAAGGGGCTTCGATCGGCCGTTATCCGGTTCAGAAGTATCCATTGCATCGACTTCGTCTTCGATCAGTGTTGTCAGGATATCATCCATAGGTACGTCTTGATCGGCTGGTAGAATCGTTTCCTCCAAGTTGGTCGACTTAAGTGGTGACTGTTGCGCCTTTGCTTTCTTACCCAAAGGCGGCGGTTTCGCCTTACGTCGTTGTTATTTGGCTTCTTTCCTTCTATAGTAGTAGTCGACGAAGGACTCGATTTTCGCCATTAGGAACATCAGCCTTTCTCGGTTCTTTACCGACTTCACTGTCGTCGGCCGTAGGATGAAGCGAATCTCCTTGGCGTTGTTTTCCAAGTGACCGAGGTTGATATCAATTTGGCAATAGCGAGGACTCCGTTGGTCAGTTGCGTCCATCATCTGTCGAAGTTCAGCCGTTACTTTGTCGGCCCTTTTTGAGGTCACATGAATTCGTTCGACCATTTCCGGGTCGAGGTCGGCTTGTTGTTGTGCCGGAGGAGGTGGACGTCGGACAGAGTCGAAGTTTGGTCTACGTGTCGACTGAGTCTGTCTTGTCTGTGATGGCCGACCAGTAGCCATGGCCTCTGTTGTAAGACTAGTGGTCGCCTTCTGGTTATCCTTATCTTTTTCCTCCTCATAGTCGCGAACCCGCGTTTCCAACCATGAAGTGGTTCGGATCAAACGTTGTCGGGTGGTGGTCGTTTGTGGGTCGTCCGGGTAACATAGTCGTCGTCTAAACCGCGCGCTATTCCCCCATGCCAAGATGTCGCGATCAAGGTCGTGTGCCAACTGACTGTTATCTTGTCAGAAGTGTCGACGGGCTCTCATCACTGTGATGAGTTCCGCGACTCTGGCTAACAGTTTAACGACATGTGGAGCGACCGTGTCCGGCAATACGTCCGTATCCGGTATGGCTTCCATGATCCGTTCTTCTGTGGCCGGGGACATAGGTCGGTCAACTATATCCACTGATTTCTGTTGAGGTCGGCTGTGATTGAGTCAGAGCCGATGTCGAAGTCGGCTGAGTCGAGCTGGTCGGCTGTTGTGTCGCCGTTGTCCGAGACTGAATCCATTGACGTCGCAACATGTCGATTTCCGCCTCCCAAGCCCTGAACATGCGTCTGAGAGATCCTAAGTCGATCGTCTATTGCTGCCCGGATGTTACAGATAGTCGGATCTGTTCCGCCCATGTCGGCAATTTGACGCTTCCGGCCGGCTGCGATCTGTTGTTCGCGGGCCAACTTCCGGTCCAAGACTTTCCTTTGTTCTGCCGGTGTAAGTTGACCAGATTGTTCCTTGGAGTTCGGCTGTTGCTGAGTCGGCTTTGGCTTAACCCTTTGTGGGGTTGCTCCAAGATCTTCCATGGATCTTCGACTCGCCCGGAGCAGATGTTGTACAGCTGCTCCAGTGCTTCCCGCATTCGCTTCTCGAAGTCCTGTGTGGGGTCGAAGTCTCGGAGTTGTTTGGAAAGTTTTTCCATGACGTCGACAGACTCCCGGTATTGGTATTCAACTTTGTCGAAGTCAACTTCCTGTTGGTCAACCACGGTGTCGACGAACGGGAGTTCGACGTCGAGCCCTGGTGACGGGATCGCCGTAGTGTGGTTTTGTATACGAATAATGCTATTAATTTGGAATAATGCTGAGCATTATACAATTGGATGCAATTTGTATATTCTTAGCATTATTCCAGATCTGACAATTTGTATAACTGCTAAGCATTATACAAATTGCTAGAATTGAATACTGCTAAGCATTATACGAATAATCAATTTTGGAATAATGCTAAAAGCCATACTAATTTTTTTATTCTGACAAATTTTTTACGTAATTGAATTAAGTTTAAATTGTTGAAAAATAAACTGTACTTAGAGATCAATGTCAAAGCGCCGATGGATTTCCGTGTCCTTCAAAACTTTTTGCGTTTTCGAAACGCTGGAAAATGATCTGTCGATGTAGTAATGTTTACAGTAAGAAAGCTGAGGAAATTTCGACGTAGGCCGTAAGTAGTACCGTCCATTTTCACGTTCTTTAGACTAAATTTAAGTACACAAAAAATTCTGGAATTCGCGATTCTGTATGCTTTTTAGCATTATTCCAAAATCACTAAATCGTATAATGCTTAGCATTATTCTTCACACACTGCATTTGTATAATGCTTAGCAATATTCATAATAATTATTCATGAATTTGTATAATGCTCAGCATTATACTAATTCAGTGGGTTACGAATAATGCTAAGCATTATATAAATATAAATACGAATCAATTCTGCTTAGCAAAAGCCACACCAGGGATCGGGGACGGCTCCGCTTCTCGTGGCTGGACTCGTCCAGTTGGTTTCGTCAGATACCGTTTGACTTGGTGCAGCATGGATTGAAGGGCTTCTACGAGTCGATCTTGGTTCGGCCCCGGCTCTGGAATTCCCCCGAGCCTAATGTATCTGCCCAATCCAGCTCAGTTCGTAGAGCTCGGTCGGCTTTCGCGAGGTCGGTTGCCTCTGGTTCCTGCAGGGTTCCGCTAAGTTGGTGGTCGAAGATTTCGGCCAAATCCTGTCCTGCTTGGCAGATTACTTCCGTGTTGCAGAGTAGATTATCCATCGACGTGGTGCTTACCAGTGTCATCACCTCTGCTGTGGTCGGTGCTGGTCGGCGAGATGGTGACGGCGTTTTAATCGGAGTATACTCGGGTTCCGCATCTAGGATCTCTGTGATCCGTTCGATGGCCGACCTGAGTTGTCGTTCGTCGACGTCGGTCGGTTCATCTTTACGGATAAGGTCGTCCGCCTTCCTCAAGTAGGCCGTCAGGTTATCCATCTTCTGCCGTGCTGCCTTGATGGCTTCCTCGTCCGTCGGTATAACGTTTATGAATGACCTCTGGAGATCTTCCAGTAGATCCCATCCGTCGGAAATTACCTCTAACATCCGTTCTTGGCGGGTTTTCCGCATCGTCGCGTGCATTTCCGCGGCGGATGATGTGGATGGCAAAGTCAGCGGGGACGTCCCATCCGGTAACATGAGACTTCTTTGGTTTCGATTGAAGTCGCGCAACTCATTTATGCCGTTTGGAACTCGCTGGGAATGGACTCCCGGTTCCACTACGCCAGGTTGTATCAGGTTTTTCACCAGTTGTATGTGGGGATGAATTCGGAGATTCTCTCTTCGGCGTCCGGTTCGAGTCCCATGTCGGCGCTTTCATTTATCCAGCTCACGGTTTCCTGTGCCTCTTGTATTGCAGTTCTACCGTCGGCGATTACCGTGTCACTTGCCAACGTCGCCAACGTTACGGCATGTATAGTCTTGGTCGGCGCTGAGGTGGTAATCAGGTGGACTTTCCGTTCATCCAACTGGATAAGCGTATCCAGGTCGGTATGACGGCTGTACAGTCGTTTGTAGCGGTCCAGTAAACCTTGGAAGTCCTGGGAGTAGTTTTTATTCGTACGTGGGAGGAGTCTCATCCGTTCCCTCATGTCGTTCGACCGGGTGATTACGTCCTCCCTCTCACGCTTCCAGACTGCTAGTCTTCGGATACGAGTTAGGCATCTGGGAATCCAGCGAGAATGCCCAGATGGCGACCTGTGTGGTCGAAAACAGTGGCGTTGATATTGGTGAAGTTCTGACAGCTCCCGGCAATGACGTCATTTGTTGACCGTTAGCCGTAGATCGGAAACTTCTCTGCCAGGTTAACCTTCTTCATACGATCCATGGCGACCCGAAGTCGGTATTTGTCCACCTCTGTTCTGGGCTTACCGAACCTCGTTAGATCTTCCGCTAGCCCTATGTCGGCTATTGCTATAAGATCGTTGAACTTTTTCACCTTGAATTCATAAATTCCAGGCATGGTATGTTCGTAAATGTCCTGAATAGTTTGTTTGGCGGCGAGGATTGATTTCCAGGCTTCTGTCGGCTGGCCGTCCTCTCCGATTCGAAGTGCCATGACATGGTAAGTTGACTGAGGAACTTGCTGTTCCGTTCCTCATGGGTCGCTTTGGATGAGCTGTTGGACCCGTTGGACGTGTTGGTTCAACCGAATGGACTCGTCATCCGTGGCTGAGTGTCCGGGTGCCGTCAGTCGTTCGGCTATACGGATACTCCGACCAAGGTCGCTGACTCTGTTTGCCGTCCCGTCGACGGTCGTCCGAGTTTGTGGCGACATCCTCCATCTATCGAGGAGTCGTTCTCCCCTGACGAGGATAGGTTGTACTTGTGCCGATGTGAGTATCTGTACGTCTCCCGTCAGTCGTTTGGCTGCTTCCAGGTTCTGGGTAGGCTGAGGGTATCGGATTATCCTCTGACAAGCATTTTCGATTCTCGTCCGGTTTCTCGTTAGCAGCGTAGGTTGCGTCGGGACATCGGTCTGCAGGAATGGCCGTAACCAATCTGTGTAAGTTCGAATGGCCTCACGGTCGTTTTCGAGGACTCCGGATTCAAAAGTTCCTCTTGGTGTGTCGTCCAGTGTCGCCTCGATCCGACCGGTCACTATGTAAGCCATCCGGATGAATTGGTTCAGCTCCTGTACTGTTGGGAGCGGTTCCCCTGGTGGTCCTTGTGGGACTTGTTGAATCGGATTCGGCTGAGAGACTGGGAGCGATGCTGGTAAGTTCTCAACTGGTGGGGGCTGGATTGCTGGGACAGCTGCTAGTTGGGCTGTCGGCGGTTGTAACGCCAGGATCTCGTTATTCCTTTGCACCAGTTTGTTGTTTCAGGCTTGTAGCTTATCGGCAATACATGGCACGAATTTCGGGTAGCTCTTGTCAGGTGGTAGGAATTTTGCCAGTCGTTGTTGCAGCTCTTTTATGGCATTAAGCGCCTCGTTGCGCCTTGCAGTTAAGCCATCCAGCGGGCAAGTCGGATTTCCTCGTCAATCACCGCCTGTGTGGTCGGTATCGACGTTCCTGGTGCGCCGAAGTTGTTACAGACGATACACTGTTGCACAGTTTTACGGGTCACAAGATACCGTTAATGGGAACGGTAGAGATTCAGGTACAGCATATGGGCGTGGCCAAAGTATTGAGAGCGCTAGTGACAACGCGTGGTTGTAGCATTATCGGTCGAGATTGGATCTCGGAACTGGATTTGAGTGCGCTCAGTTTGAAGCAACTGCAGCTAGGCGAGGTGTCCTCAGCTGCGCAGTCCAGTAAGCTAGCCGCGATACTTAAACGGCATAAGGCTGTTTTCCGAGATGAGGCTGTTTTCCGACGGCTCGGATGTTGTAAGAATTTCAAAGCGCATTTGTACCTGAAGGAAAATGCGAGGCCAGTGTTTTGTAAGGCGGGACCCGTTTTGTAAGGCGAGACCCGTGCCGTTCGCGCTGAAACAGGAAATAGAAGAGGATATAGACCGGTTGGTGCAGTTGGGCGTTCTGACGTCAGTTGATTACGCTGAATGGGCAGCACCAATAGTAGGCATAAAGAAGCCGAAGAGGAAGGTCGGGATTTGTTCTGATTTAAGTACTGGTCTGAATGATGCACTGGATGTGCATAAGTATCCTCTCCCGCACCCAGACGAGTTGTTTGCCAAGTTGTAGGGGCTGTAAAGTTTTGCAAGATAGATTTGCGGGAAGCGTATAATCAGATCCCCGTAGATGAGGATAGTAGCAAGCTGCTAGTGATAAACACCCACAAGGGGTTGTTCAAATATAACCGATTACCGTTCGGTGTGGCGAGTGCGCCAAGTATATTTCAGCAGGTGATGGAGAATATCTTGCAGGATTGCGAAGGTGTAGCGATATATCTGGATGATATCATCATCATTGGGCGCGACGAGGCCGAATGTTTGAGAAATCTTGAAGCACTACTGGCTAGATTAGAGCAGTACGATCTGACTGTGAAGAAGGACAAGTGTGAGTTCATGGTCGATTCTGTCGAATACTTGGGTTTTATTATTGACTGATCTGGCAGGCGTATCTCTAAAGAAAAGACTAAGGCTGTTGTTGAGATGCCAGCTTCCACAGACGTGGGTCAGCTACGGTCGTTCTTAGGCTTGATTAACCATTATGCCAAGTTTCTGCGGAATTTGTCGAGCAGGTGCTAATGCTTCTATGAGTTGCAGAAGCAATCAGTAGAGTGGAAGTGGGACGTAGAATGCCAGAAAGAATTTGAGTCAGTGAAGAATGATCTGACAAAAGCAACCCAGTTAGTGCATTTTGATCCTGGCCTACCGTTGATATTAGCAGCGGATGCGTCAAAGTACGGTGTTGGTGCTGTGCTCAGTCACAGAATGTCAGACGGTACTGAAAAGCCAATAGCTCATGTGTCGAAAACGTTGACGAGTGCAGAGCAGAATTATGGTCAGATTGAGAAGGAAGCGCTCGCGCTAGTCTTTGGTGTGAAAAAGTTTCACCAATATCTGCATGGCAGAGAGTTTGTGCTGCTGACCGACCACAAGCCATTAGTAACGATATTTGGTAGCAAGAAGGGCATACCGGTTGTTACAGCGAATAAGCTTCAGCGATGGGCTATTGTGTTGATGGGATACACGTTTCAAATCGAGTATCGCCGTACGACAGAGTTTGGTCAGGCAGATGGGTTGAGCCGATTACCGCTGCGATCTTCAGATTTATTTGACAAAGAAGATTTGGGTGCAGCCGAGACAATACATATGGTTGAGAAAGAGATTGTCCAGCATGCCAGTGTCAGCGGAATTGATTCGTAACGAAAGCGCTAGGGACAGAGAGGTGTCTAAGTTAATGCATTACCATGTGACTGGGTGGCCAGGTGTGTTGCCACCAGAGTTGGTTCCCTACAGTCGCAGGAAGAGCGCGTATGCGGTGTGCGATGGTTGTCTGTTATGGAACAACAGAGTAGTGGTTCCGAAAGTGTTGAGGAAACGCATAAATTACTATCTGCACAGTACCCATTCGGGTATTGTAAAGATGAAGGCAGTATGTTGGCCTGGTATTGACGAAGAACTAGAGAATGTAGTTGCCGATTTTGAGATTTGTTCGCTGTTGTCTAAAGATCCCGCGAAGTTACCGCTAAAGCAGTGGCCGGTGCCGCCGGGCCCGTGGCATCGACTTACATTGATTTCGCAGGACCGTTCAAGAAGCGCATGATTCTGGTCATAGTAGATGCGTACTCTAAATGGCTGGAGGTATTCGAAGTGAAAAAGGCAGATACTGCTAACGTTGTCTTTGTGCTTGATGGTTTATTTGCCAGATACGGACTTTGCAGTGAGATAGTCAGCGATAACGGTACACAGTTTACGTCTGAAGAGTTTCAGCGTTTCTGTATTGAGCGTGGTATAAACCACATGACAACCGCCCCAGGACACCCGCAGTCGAATGGGCAGGCGGAACGATACATAGATGTCGGGAAAAAAGGTATTACGAAGGGCATGGAGTCAGGAAAGGCATTTGTAGATGCACTGAGAGATTTCCTGTGTCGGTTTCGAAGCATACCAAAGGCTACAACTGGTAAAGCACCCTGTGAGTTGTTCCTCAATAGAAAGATAAAAGCAGTGCTGGATCTGTTGCATCCAGTTGCACAGGTGCACGAGAAGGCGCGAGGTACACAAAAGCGCAACTTTGATAAGCGAGCAAAACACAGAAAGTTCAAAGCGGGACAGTTGGTCCAGGTTAAAGATTTCCGTTTGAATTGGAAACGTAACTGGGTAGCGGGTAAGCTTATCGAAGCAGTCGGTTCTACCATGTGGAAAGTCATAGTAAATGGTCAAGTATGGCGACGACACAGTGATCAGATGCTGCCGCGCAAGTGGTTGACCGCGGAAGAGCATGCTGAGTCCCAGATAGCGGCCCGAAAACAGGTGCCGCAGGAGTCGGAAAATGAGCGACGTTTTGAAGCTGCTCAGAACGAGCGACGCTTTGAAGCTGCTGAGAATTCGCGACGCCTTGAAGCTGCGAAAGAGACGCAGCATGAGCGTAAGGCGTCAGAGGCGCGACGTATCCTGGCGGCGCCGGAGGACAATGCGCGACGTGAACCTGCGGCACAGGAGGCGCAACGTGAGACTGCGGCGCCACAACCGGCTCAAACGGAGGCTGCGGTGCAGCCTACCTTACCTTTTGTTGCAGGTAAAGCGCCGATCACATCGCAGAATGCGAAGCCGGCAGTGAAACTGGAAATCATTTCCTCAACGGAGAAGGCTGAATTAAAGCCAGCCGTCACAACTGGAAAGGCGACGAAACCGGAAGCCAAAGCGAAGGCTGTTCCTAAACCGTCAGCAAAGCCTCCAGTTGCCAGTCGCGGAGTGGAACACCGCCGGAGTGAGAGAGATAAGAAGCAAACGGATTTTTACATGATGAAAAGGATTTTTGTGGATTTGTCATCGATTTGATTTTAATTGATTATTTCTGTTTTCTTGTACATCCGTGGTTTCTATCTTATTGTGGGGGAGATTGTAGTGTATGTAATACTTTGCGTTAACCAAGCAACTGTTGTTGTCGTATTCCTTATTTCCTTATTTATTTACATTCAGTCTGCTGTCAATAAAAGTACGTGCGGATAATATTTTGTCGTATTATCGTGGTACTTCACAGTAAGTGTCTCCGATTTATTCTCCGATTCCTTCGGTTTCTCCGTGGTCGGCTGGACTGTGTTTTCTGCCAATTCTTCCGCAGTCGATGCTGGTTAAGCAGCTATCACATCTTGCTTCTGCAGTTCCTGCAGTGCTGGTGTCTCAAAGTCGGCCCGTGGTTTCTTCCGAGGTCGACCTACTTTCTTATTAATTTTACCGTCGGTTCGGTGTTATCCGACTCGTTGGTCGGATCCGAAAGTTTTTCGACGGTTACTTCGGGTTTCTTCTTCGGTTTCCGAGTAACTTTCCCTTCTGTAAGGTCGGCTACCGGGCCAGATGACCGAGTTGCTGGTCGACTCGTTTCGACTGGGCAATGTTTAACTCGGTCGACGGCTTCCGTATCTTTGCGTCCGTCCTCGCATCGAAGGAGTAAGTTATTTGGGCCTACATAGTAGATGATCGTCCAAACTCCGCCGTAGCGTTCCATTCTAGATGGATCCTTAGACGAAAATTCCACCGTTGCCTTGTCCCTTGGTTCGAAGGTCGGCGACGATTTCTTCTTGTTATAGTGTTCGGCGTTCCGCTCGAATGCCTCATCAATGTTGAGGTCCTTAAAGTCCTCGAAGTTGGGGACCTGATCCAGCTCTTCGTGTGGATCTTTGTCGTCACTGCGTTCCAGTGGCTATCTCGACAGGGCATCTGCATCGTCGCAGAATACTCCTGGCTTATACTGGATGGTTATGTCCCTTCCTTGTGAAGCCAGTGCCCAGCGTGTTAGTCGAGTGTTGATGCCAGGTTGGTTCGACTCGCATCAGAGCAAATTCTGCAGTGCCCGGTGATCCGTCCTTACGGTGAACGGTCCATGGTCGATGAAGTGTTTAAACTTCTGCATGGCCCATACCACGGCCAAACATTCCCATTCGGTGACTCCATAGTCTAGTTCCGGTCCTCGTAGGACTATGCTGCCGTAGGCGATTGGGTGGTCGTCCTGAGAGATCACCGCGCCAAGTCCGGCTCCGCTTGCGTCACATTCGATGACGGTTCCTTAGTTGGGTCGAACTTTGCCAGTACAGGGGCTTCTGTTAGCGCTTTCTTGATCTCGTTGAACTTTTGGCCGTGTGGGCGTCCGTCCAATCGAGCTTGATGTTCTTGCCCTTCCGTAGGAGCTTGTACATTTTCGATGTCTTCTGGGCATATCCTCGGATGAACTCACGATAACAGTTGGCCAGTCCAAGGAACGATCTTAGTTGGCGTTCCGTCCTCGGACAGCTTTGTTCTGCAATACAGACCACTTTCTCGTCGTCGGTCTGGGCTCCGTTCTTGACGTGTCCGAGAAACAGCAGTCTGTCCGTTCCGACCTCGCATTTGGAGGGTTTGACCGTAAATCAAGCATCTCTAAGGCATTCGAGGGTCGCTCGGAAGGCCTCGACGAAGTCGTTGAATGTTTTGTTAAAGAAGATGACGTCATTAATGTAGACGAACACATCTTCCTTCCTGGCTGATGCCGTTATCTTATCCATATGCATTTGGAAGGTAGCTGGTCCATTGCAGACTCCAAACGGCATACGGTTAAATCGTCACATCCCATCCCGTGTTACGAAGGTGTTGTAGTCCTTGGAGCTTTCATCCACTGGAAATTAAAAACCGGACTGACAATCAACTTTGCCGTAGTACTCCATTCTCTCGCACTGGTCCAATAGTTCGTCCGGGTTGGGTAGTGGGTAATTGTTTCTCTTCGTCCCTGAGTTCAACTTAATGTAGTTGATACAGAAACGGGTTCCTACCGTGCCGTCTCCGTTCTGTTTCGCGGCTAGGACGACAGGGAAGCTCAATGCAGCCGATGACGGTTCGATGTCTCCTTGGTCGAGCATTTCCTGCACGTGTTTCTGTATGAATTCCCGTCTTTTCCAGCTCGTTCTTGTGGGATTCATTTTAATCGGTTGTGCTCTTTGGACGTCGATGGTATGTGTTACCCCTTTGACGTCTCTATAAGGTTTCTTTGAGGTCGGAAAAACGGTCCGGTAATCCCAAACCACTGCTTTCAGTATGGCAAGTTGCTCATCGGTTAGGTTCTTGCCGAAGTTCATGGAGTCGATGATTCTTCGTCGCTCCTCCCGCGATTCCGCATCTCCTCCTTCCATTTAAGTTATGTTGACGCGTGCTTTTTCTATTTTCTGGTCGGCAGTCACCATGTTGAATGGTTCGACTCGACCCATCGGTACACCCTTGCGTATGGTGACCGGATGGTTGGTGTGGTTTGCCACCAAGACTGTAAATGATTTTCCGTCGTGCTTCGTTGCACTGTCCATCGTATCGATTCCGTCCTTTTTGGGGTCGGAACCGCCCAAGTACTTGAGGTTCTGTAGGGGCGGATACTGCCACGTCTAGGACGACTTAGAGATGGCAGCGGCCGGCTAAAC